TATTTATTTATTTAATTTTGGCACTTTTTATCCTCCATAGACTTTAGCTGACGGCTCTACTAAACAGAGCATGGGAACCATGTTTTGTATTATATACAAATTGAGTTATATTAAAGGTTGATGTTAGCATCCTTTCTACAAACAAACTTGGCTTTATATCAGCGCAGACTAGGATTATTACATGAGTACCAACCTAAGCTTGGTTTTGATTGGATGGTTAAACTCCAGAGTTGATTTCTACCCACTTTTGTCTTATTTGGCTTTAGTGCAGCAAAAAAGTGGGGGTAGAAAAACTAGCATTGTTCTTTAACAGTGGAAGAAGTGAAGCTGCTTCTCTGAGATGCACAGGACCCTGATTAAGTCAGTTGGCGGTAATAAACATATATGATCCTTTACCTGCAGGCTTGCCGTTACTAGTTTTTGATCCATGCTAACAACACTGGAAAAAAAAATCGAAATTAGTCATCTTTTCTTTAAATAAGTGTATTTGATGTTGGATTGAGGAGGTAAAAGACACATTTTGCCAAAGAAACAAGACAATTTACATTTAAAATAAGAAAACACAATTGCATTGTCTTCTTTCAAGTGTATTTGATGTAATTATCCTATTTTAAGAGTAAAAATACTCATTCCATTGGCATACTATCTCATTTACCTACTCAAATTAAAGGTAAATACACTTAATTTAAGAAAATTTGACTTATTTGTATGTTTTTTTTCCAATGAAAGGAAAACCTTATTCTCACAGGTATTTAGATGTGAACCATATATTTTTTTGCACTTTTTTGAAGAGGTGGGTGAACTGTCACCACAGGCATAGACTAAATGTTGGATAAATATTTGGATTTACTTTTTTGGTGTTTCTTTTCTTCATTTTACTCTCTGCTTAGGATGCAGCAGAGCTCTTGAGGCCCTACATAATTGGAAAGCCCTGCTATCCACCCACCACTGCCACCCCCACACCTTTCCTACAACCCAGAGACACAGTTCTCATTTTTTATTATCAACACTATTAATTTACTCATTTTATTAATTGTAGGAAATACTAACAGTGTGGAGAGGCATTCCTGGCTTTTACACTTGATTTTTGATGTTTATGTATAAATAAATATGTAAAAATGAAGCCATTACTGTCCAAGTTTCCTGTATTTTATCTTGATGAGATGCATTTATTTTTATCTACAGGCTGGAAATGTCCACAGATTTGATTTCAAATATCTGGTCAATTTAGTAAAGATGTTTTTTGAATTTATTAAAGCAAATAATTATTTTTTTTTTTAATGGGGCAAAATAAATGTTTAGATAACGATAATTCTATAAATATTACATCCCATATTTCAGGTAAAACCATTAGGCAAATATCGTGACAATCATTACAACAATAAAGGGATGTGCATTTTGACTGCTTTCACTCAAATAACCAGGACTTTATTTGTGACTTGGGATTTGACTTGGAAAAACTGACTTATAAAGATCTCTGTTACAGGCTAATTTATTCTTGGTTTAAAGGTTAAACTTGCATTCAACGTGCTTTGTTTTATAGTTGTAGCTTTTGTTGTGGTATGTTTTGTCGGGTTTAGAACAGCGGATGAAATTAGGATCCTCAGAGTTCCTGGGAGCTTATTGTACAAACTAGAGCCAACATGTCCAGTGCGAGCTAAACACACGCACTGGTTCTCTGCTCTATAGAGAGAGCTGATACGTATGTGCATTTGCACTTGAGACACAAAAATATTTCCGATGCAAAAGCAAACAATAAATACCTTAAATTTAGTGCAGTCACTAAAATTAAACATCTACAAGGAGTTTATGCTCTATATCTATCAATCACTGAAGCCTTTGAGGGAATGATTAACATGGAGGCACATAATTGTAAATGTTACCAGCTTTACTTTGCTTATTTTTAGATTTAGTGACTGCTTACTTGATTCGAAATCCACTTACAGTAAGTGCAAAAAAATGTATTTAAACATTTTTTTTTGTTATCTGTATTTTAAAAGTATGCCTTTTTCAGGATTCTAAAATTGGTGTTTAATAATTGTCAACATTATCTTACAATAATATGTAATTGAAAAGTCATATTTAAAAATCGGTGTAATTTTGAATTATTGTTGTTAACAGAAACATCATGGGCTGTCAATGAGCTACCTGGAGACAAATGGCACCAAAATTAACCCGTTTTCTGGTGAAAATCCAGAAGACAGATGTACCTGGTTCAGCACACTACAGTCAAACACTTGCATTGCCTCCTCAAAATGCAATCAAGCACACTTTATAACCACAAGCTGTTTTCATTTTCATTGGTATTGTATATGACCGAATGATACAAAGCGGTAAAAATCTCAAGAATGGACATAAATAGTTCCTTCTCTCAGGTAATACCAGCTATAACTTGTCCTGAACTTTAGTGAAATTACCTTATAGCTCTTTGTTTTTAAAGAATCTTAAGTTTTTGCATAATGCATAAGTTGAAATGCATGGTAAGTGAAGGTGCCCAAACATCACAAAATATGCTGTGATTAGATACTAAAGTATTAGGGTGTATTACGGAATATTAGCAGAAAGAGGAATCATTCATGAACTATTTATAGTGTTTACACCAGTAGGTTGAACAAGAAGCTGCAGACCTTTAATCATTTTCAACATAATGGGAGAACTATTAAATCGGTACTCCTTCTAGGAAGCAATTTATCATAATTTACATGGCCAAGAAAATATCACGTAGTGGAAAAGTGTCAAGCTCTCTTCAAAACAAATCTGAATTCATAGTCTCCACTACTAGACAGCCATTCATCCCCTCAGCTGACATTAGAGGAATGTGACTTTGGGAAAGGGTGCAAACTCAGCAGACTGTGGGTGTGGATTCAAGCAGCCTCATGGCGCGCCTGTGTGAGTTATTATGTCTTGTTTATGTGACCACTGGGTGCTACACACCTTGGTGGCTGCATCCACGTTGGCACCCTGCTTGATGAGCTCTGCCACCACTTCCACATGGCCCTCCTTCGAGGCCAGATGGAGAGCATTTAGACCGTTCTGTGCAAAAAAAAAAAAAAAGGAAGTTAGGGAGAGAGGAATCAAAGAAGAAAACGGTTTGATAAAGCCGATATATAGTCATGATTAAAAACTCAAATCTGAGCGTAGCCATTTGGGAATTTCTTCCGCATTAATGCGATCAATAATATCTAAAAAAAAAAAAAAATGTTTTTACAGATACCTCTGAAATTGTCTTTTATTTTGAGTTCTATCAATTTTAGGAGAGAAAAAATTACAAGGCACATTGAGATAACTTTTACGCTCCTTTTTCTCTTAAACAAAAATAAAAAGGTACAAAAGTAGCAACACTTGACCTTCGTTTAATCACCCCTTGAGGTGGAATAGAGGCAGCACATGGGGAAAGCAAGTTGAAGGAATGTTAGCACCCTTCCGTTAATCAAGGATGAGAACCAAAATCGCAGTTTCTGGAAAGCGCCCTCTTGTGGGCCACTTTCACACTTCAGATGTTCTGGCACGCTAAAGCTTAAGATGTTTTAATACAATAGTTGTATTTGCAGAGGCAACCTCCTTTAAAAAATGTCAAAACTCTGACTGGAGATTAAAACTTAAAAGCGGATAAAATGTGGATAAAATGCTTCAGCTAAAATTTTGCTGGAGCAGCTTTTAATTTGATGAAATAGTATTGGCATAAAAAAAAAAACAGGACTTCTCTTTTTTTCTTCTTCTAAACAACAGCATGTCAAATCTGTCAGATTATAAGGGCGTCACTGGTGCACAAACCTCTGGTCGAGGTGTGAGAGCAAGCAAAAATCTGTACGATTTCAATGTCCATGCTCCTGCTCTGCCAAAAGTTTGGTGTCCTTTTGACGAGGTCTTTCTTTTTTTTTCTTATTTTTATTTTGTTTTATTTTTGGTGTCTCTGTCATGATGAATGATTAAAGGTATAATGGAGGATTCTCGCAAATTTTTGGAAAGACCCGCCCTCTCCACTTAAAAAAACTGCACATGCACAACTCTGTACCCGCCAGAGGTGTCAAGTAATGAATTGCAAATACTTTGTTACTGTACTTAAATGTACTTTTTAGGTATCTATACTTTACTACAATACTTATTTTTCTTCCTACTTCTGTACTTTCTATTCCTTACACTTTTAAAACAAATGTTACTTGTTACTCTTGGCTTCGGTTTTATGTTTATAAATATTTATTTCACGTCATGTGCGCCATCCAATGCAGNTATTTATTTATTTAATTTTGGCACTTTTTATCCTCCATAGACTTTAGCTGACGGCTCTACTAAACAGAGCATGGGAACCATGTTTTGTATTATATACAAATTGAGTTATATTAAAGGTTGATGTTAGCATCCTTTCTACAAACAAACTTGGCTTTATATCAGCGCAGACTAGGATTATTACATGAGTACCAACCTAAGCTTGGTTTTGATTGGATGGTTAAACTCCAGAGTTGATTTCTACCCACTTTTGTCTTATTTGGCTTTAGTGCAGCAAAAAAGTGGGGGTAGAAAAACTAGCATTGTTCTTTAACAGTGGAAGAAGTGAAGCTGCTTCTCTGAGATGCACAGGACCCTGATTAAGTCAGTTGGCGGTAATAAACATATATGATCCTTTACCTGCAGGCTTGCCGTTACTAGTTTTTGATCCATGCTAACAACACTGGAAAAAAAAATCGAAATTAGTCATCTTTTCTTTAAATAAGTGTATTTGATGTTGGATTGAGGAGGTAAAAGACACATTTTGCCAAAGAAACAAGACAATTTACATTTAAAATAAGAAAACACAATTGCATTGTCTTCTTTCAAGTGTATTTGATGTAATTATCCTATTTTAAGAGTAAAAATACTCATTCCATTGGCATACTATCTCATTTACCTACTCAAATTAAAGGTAAATACACTTAATTTAAGAAAATTTGACTTATTTGTATGTTTTTTTTCCAATGAAAGGAAAACCTTATTCTCACAGGTATTTAGATGTGAACCATATATTTTTTTGCACTTTTTTGAAGAGGTGGGTGAACTGTCACCACAGGCATAGACTAAATGTTGGATAAATATTTGGATTTACTTTTTTGGTGTTTCTTTTCTTCATTTTACTCTCTGCTTAGGATGCAGCAGAGCTCTTGAGGCCCTACATAATTGGAAAGCCCTGCTATCCACCCACCACTGCCACCCCCACACCTTTCCTACAACCCAGAGACACAGTTCTCATTTTTTATTATCAACACTATTAATTTACTCATTTTATTAATTGTAGGAAATACTAACAGTGTGGAGAGGCATTCCTGGCTTTTACACTTGATTTTTGTTGTTTATGTATAAATAAATATGTAAAAAGAAGCCATTACTGTCCAAGTTTCCTGTATTTTATCTTGATGAGATGCATTTATTTTTATCTACAGGCTGGAAATGTCCACAGATTTGATTTCAAATATCTGGTCAATTTAGTAAAGATGTTTTTTGAATTTATTAAAGCAAATAATTATTTTTTTTTTTAATGGGGCAAAATAAATGTTTAGATAACGATAATTCTATAAATATTACATCCCATATTTCAGGTAAAACCATTAGGCAAATATCGTGACAATCATTACAACAATAAAGGGATGTGCATTTTGACTGCTTTCACTCAAATAACCAGGACTTTATTTGTGACTTGGGATTTGACTTGGAAAAACTGACTTATAAAGATCTCTGTTACAGGCTAATTTATTCTTGGTTTAAAGGTTAAACTTGCATTCAACGTGCTTTGTTTTATAGTTGTAGCTTTTGTTGTGGTATGTTTTGTCGGGTTTAGAACAGCGGATGAAATTAGGATCCTCAGAGTTCCTGGGAGCTTATTGTACAAACTAGAGCCAACATGTCCAGTGCGAGCTAAACACACGCACTGGTTCTCTGCTCTATAGAGAGAGCTGATACGTATGTGCATTTGCACTTGAGACACAAAAATATTTCCGATGCAAAAGCAAACAATAAATACCTTAAATTTAGTGCAGTCACTAAAATTAAACATCTACAAGGAGTTTATGCTCTATATCTATCAATCACTGAAGCCTTTGAGGGAATGATTAACATGGAGGCACATAATTGTAAATGTTACCAGCTTTACTTTGCTTATTTTTAGATTTAGTGACTGCTTACTTGATTCGAAATCCACTTACAGTAAGTGCAAAAAAATGTATTTAAACATTTTTTTTTGTTATCTGTATTTTAAAAGTATGCCTTTTTCAGGATTCTAAAATTGGTGTTTAATAATTGTCAACATTATCTTACAATAATATGTAATTGAAAAGTCATATTTAAAAATCGGTGTAATTTTGAATTATTGTTGTTAACAGAAACATCATGGGCTGTCAATGAGCTACCTGGAGACAAATGGCACCAAAATTAACCCGTTTTCTGGTGAAAATCCAGAAGACAGATGTACCTGGTTCAGCACACTACAGTCAAACACTTGCATTGCCTCCTCAAAATGCAATCAAGCACACTTTATAACCACAAGCTGTTTTCATTTTCATTGGTATTGTATATGACCGAATGATACAAAGCGGTAAAAATCTCAAGAATGGACATAAATAGTTCCTTCTCTCAGGTAATACCAGCTATAACTTGTCCTGAACTTTAGTGAAATTACCTTATAGCTCTTTGTTTTTAAAGAATCTTAAGTTTTTGCATAATGCATAAGTTGAAATGCATGGTAAGTGAAGGTGCCCAAACATCACAAAATATGCTGTGATTAGATACTAAAGTATTAGGGTGTATTACGGAATATTAGCAGAAAGAGGAATCATTCATGAACTATTTATAGTGTTTACACCAGTAGGTTGAACAAGAAGCTGCAGACCTTTAATCATTTTCAACATAATGGGAGAACTATTAAATCGGTACTCCTTCTAGGAAGCAATTTATCATAATTTACATGGCCAAGAAAATATCACGTAGTGGAAAAGTGTCAAGCTCTCTTCAAAACAAATCTGAATTCATAGTCTCCACTACTAGACAGCCATTCATCCCCTCAGCTGACATTAGAGGAATGTGACTTTGGGAAAGGGTGCAAACTCAGCAGACTGTGGGTGTGGATTCAAGCAGCCTCATGGCGCGCCTGTGTGAGTTATTATGTCTTGTTTATGTGACCACTGGGTGCTACACACCTTGGTGGCTGCATCCACGTTGGCACCCTGCTTGATGAGCTCTGCCACCACTTCCACATGGCCCTCCTTCGAGGCCAGATGGAGAGCATTTAGACCGTTCTGTGCAAAAAAAAAAAAGGAAGTTAGGGAGAGAGGAATCAAAGAAGAAAACGGTTTGATAAAGCCGATATATAGTCATGATTAAAAACTCAAATCTGAGCGTAGCCATTTGGGAATTTCTTCCGCACTAATGGGATCAATAATATCTAAAAAAATAAAAATAAATAAAGTTTTTACAGATAGCTCTGAAATTCTCTTTTATTTTGAGTTCTATCAATTTTAGGAGAGAAAAAATTACAGGGCACATTTAGATAACTTTTATGCTCCTTTTTCTCTTAAACAAAAATAAAAAGGTACAAAAGTAGCAACACTTGACCTTCGTTTAATCACCCCTTGAGGTGGAATAGAGGCAGACCCGCCCTCTCCACTTAAAAAAACTGCACATGCACAACTCTGTACCCACCAGAGGTGTCAAGTAATGAATTGCAAATACTTTGTTACTGTACTTAAATGTACTTTTGAGGTATCTATACTTTACTACAATACTTATTTTTCTTCCTACTTCTGTACTTTCTATTCCTTACACTTTTAAAACAAATGTTACTCGTTACTCTTAGCTTCGGTTTAATGTTTTTATTTCACGTCATGTGCGCCATCCAATGCAGCTCATTGGCTCCATCCACATCTAGAGAAAACTAGTGTGATTGGATGAGTCATATAACGCAAACACTCATTGGTTGGCTCAAGGAAATCATCAGAAGCAACCAGGT